TCCTGCCTCAGCCTTCTGACAGCTGGAATGCACCACTACTGCCAGCCTGTTATTTCTTTAGGTGATTTCAGTGTTGCTATGGAACACTACTTTACAGTATTTCTACATTTTTCTGAAAACAACTTTTTCCTGTGTAGAATTAGAGCCTATGGTTAGTTGAAATTGTTCTGTTAAGCAGTGATGTAACCTGATACAATCTTTAATGTGTTTACCATTTTGTTTTGCTTATCTGGTACCACATTTTTGTGAGTTAGGGTGATAACAGTGTGACTTGGGTCACTCTAGTCATGGATTAGGTGTAATTTATTGCATTTGTAGCTTTTTCCTGGTAATTTGTAACTTTTTCATTTGTGTGACCTTGTACCAATTAGTTCACCTTTCTGAAATTCAGTCTTCTGGGAAATGAATAGTAATACATACTTGCTGCATAAAAGTTGTGAAAAATAAAGGGCATGCAGGGGAAAATGAGCAGTGCTTCTGATATATAGTAGGTGCTTTGCAAATGTTAGTTTCCTTAGTGTCAGTATCTTGATAATAGTTTTTAAAAAAAAATCTTGTGTTTCTAACATTAATCCTGGCCCTGTTTGGCTTCACTTTTCAAATCTAAAATTTAGATTTTTTTTAAAAGTATTTCTGTTTATACGAGTATCAAATCTTTACTAACATACTCTTTTAAATTAACACCCAATAATTTAAGACTTTTTTTTGGGTCTATATTGTAAACTCTGTAAATGTTCACGTTATCTTCTCTCTTTTTTTTCTTTTTTTCTCGTGTTGTGGTTAAACAGGGCCCCATGTACCCACCAAGTGTTCCACTGCTGGATGACCCTTCCATCTCTTTATTATTATTTTTTTTAAGTGAGGACATTTTAAAAATTATATTTTTATTCTCCAATTAAAGTAACCTAAATTTATTTGCAGGGGAGAAAATTTGATCTTTTTGTTATTGGATTATTACTGTATTAGAATAAGGCAAGTACTTGATAATAACTACATTTAAGTACTGCTGAGACATGCTGTTTATTTGGGGAGATTTTTTAAAAAATGTATTTTAGTATAGGGTCTACAAGGTCTCATTACACAGATTGGGCTTGAAGTGATCCTCCTGTTTTCAGCCTCCTAAGCTCTAGGATTGCAGGCGTGCACCACCACACCCAGTCTCAATATCTCAGAGTGCCCTGGAGGTGGGGCTGGCATGGCATGCGGGGATTGAACCCTGGTCCCTGCACCTGTCTAAGCAGGTGCTTTAGTCCACTAGGCTATTTGGCCAGCCCTTGGGGAGATAATTAAGGACCATAGATTATAAGTGTACATTCTAATGCACTTACCCTAGTAATTACTTAGCATATTTTCACTTAAAACTTTTTTGAGTATCTCGTGTTCTCTGAAACAATCTTAATTTACTTCACCTGCCCTCCCTCCTATCCTTCCTTCCTTCCTTCCTTCCTTCCTTCCTTCCTTCCTTCCTTCTCCACTGAGCTACATCCTGAGCCCTTCTTCAATTTTATTTTCAGACAGTCTTGCTGAATTGCCCAGGCTGGGCTTGAAGTTTTGACCCTTGTGCCTCCTGAGTAGCTGGGTTTCCAGGCATGATTAATACTTATTTATTAATCTGACTTTATTGAATTGTTGGAAAAAAAAAAGTTATTTAGTCTACAGAAAGTTGAATTTAATGTACATTTTCAGTGTAATCTGAAATCTCCAAGTTCTTGAATAGTTTTTCTGTGTATAGGGGATACATTCTTAACCCTAAATTCTGAGTCTTATGTGTTTTGTTTTCAAGGACACTTGAAGAAATTGCAGTTACACTCTTAAGTCAAGTCTCCTTAGTTTAATGACTTCACTCAAGGGTTTCCCAAACATTGCTGATTATACTTTCTTAATGCTGATACTTTTGGATTCAAGTTAATGGCCATTAGCAATAATTCACTGCTTATGAGTGCGTTCCTGTACTTTTTGGTTAGAAGCACTATTAGAGGAAATTAAGATTTATAGTAATAAAATCAAACTAAAAATTCTGTATCTTCACTAAGGAAAGTAAGATATAGAGATTATTAAATTTTCTGAGAAAATACTTCTTTTAAAGTCAGTTGTTATATGAACAACTTAAGCAATTACAAAGCAATTTCTTTTTATTTAAAAAAATAATACATGTTGAAGTATAAAAAATCATTTATACTTTGTATTTAAGTACAGATAATTTCCAATAATTTTAACTTTTTGTATTTATCCTTCAGGACCATTTTCTAGGTATATAACAAATACATGGTTATATCTAGTTTGTGATAGGAAACAGGATTACACTGTACAATCTGTTCTTTATATTAATGTTTCAACATGAATGAATGAATGAATGAATGAATATAGGTTTGTGTTATTTTTACTTATTTTTGTTGTACTGGGGAGTGAACTGAGAGGCCTTGTGTGTATTTGATGTGCACTCTCCTCTGAGCTATATCCCTATCCCTGTTTCATCATTTTTTATTTCATACAATTTTTATGATTTAATTCATGGCCTACCAAACAGTCTTCTTTTTTAGTGTGTGGTTAAATTATTCTTGATTTCAAAATTACAAAACAATAGATAAAATACCCTTTTCTGTAATTTCTTGGATGCATATATCTGATCAGTTTCTTTGGGTAATCTCCTGGAAGTTGAATTGCTAGAGCAAGAAATCTATGCATTCCCCAAGATTCTGGGGATACTTACAGCCAAACTGCCCTTTAAAACTTGGTACCAGCTAATATTTTCAGTAGAACTCTAAGGTTCTTTATATTTTACTTTACCTTTTACTTACATTTTTATTTTAATATTTCTTTAACTGCTACTGAATGCAAACTTTTGAAATGTCCTCTCATTTTGTGAATTGGTTATTGATGACTTCTGTTCATTTCCTTCAGTAATAAACAGATTGTTGTAATTTATCTGTGAAAAATGTGTTGGATTCTTCTTTCTTAATCAGGTATCAGGAGATATTTTTAGGATGATCATTCTTTCCCATTGTACCTGTTTTTTTTTTTTTTTTTTTTTTTTTTGGAACTGGGGATTGAACTCAGACCTTTGTGCTTGCCAGGGAAGTCCTTACTCTACTGAGCCATCTCCCCAGCCCCTGTACCTGGTTTGTTACCTGTGCAGTATGTCATATACATTTCCTGGTCCTCCCCTTTAATTTAGTCACTGCTGGCTGAGGTTTTGTGTTTTGTTTTGGTTTTGTGTGCAAGGAATCTAACTTTGAGCTCTGTACATCTTAGGCAAGTACTTTACCACCAAGCTATATCTCCATTCCCACCCTGACTTCAGTGTCATTATAGTTAATATTTCATCTTTTTCATTCTGTTTTTTCTCCAAAATGGGATTAAAGGTGGTAATAAGGCAAGAATAATTTTTCCCTAGTATTCTCAGCATCTTCTATAGTGCCTGACATGAATAATAGTGCTTCATAAATAAGCACTATGTAAATGAATGAATGGATGAACTGTAACGTATTATAATTGCTACTTTTAAAGTCATTCTTTGATCTGTGGAAAATCCTAGACTGCATTGCATTTTTGTAAAAAGTTTTTCCATTGTTAAGTTAATGAATACACTTAACCAATTTAAATCAAGAGGTAGGTAATAATCTTAGAAAGTTTTTTCTTATATAACTTTTATACAACTTTACCTGAATGAATTACTAAAAGATACTAGAATTTTTTTTCCATAATTTTATTGAGAAACAAATAGCAATGAGACAGTTTCAAATCAAATTAGTAGGACAGTTTCAATAATTAATATATTGCATATGGTTTTCTTAGAGGTTATTCATTGTACAAGATGCAGACACAATATTTTGTTTACAAACACTTTTGGAACAAATCTTTCTATTCATTGAATTAAGAGAAGGTATCTGTATATCTATCGTAACTATTTTGAATATACAGATACAAAATGGTCATTCATTTGTATCCTCTTTTTTTGCTTAGTTTTGTCATTTAAATATTATAGGTATGTGAATTCAGCAGGATATTCCAAAATAGTCCAGGATACTAGAATTTTGAATGACATTACAATTTATAATTTAGTCCAATATTTTAAAAATAGTGTTTTCTGTAAATGTATGAGTGTATGTACACACATATTGACTGATACCTAGAATTTATATCCTGTGTTGTATTAAAACAGGTGGTTCATATGAAAGTGGTTACACCTAGAGGTGTGATAGAAAAAAGTTGTCAAGGACCTCGGATGTCTGTAGGCCCTGATATCCATCACTTCATCATGGGATCTGAAGGTAAATACAACTTCAAATTTATTATGAGAAAAAATACAAGTTAGTCACTCAGTTTTGTGAAGAACTATTACTGTGAAAGGTCTTTGTAAGACCAAGATTTTTTACAAAGTTTTAATTAGTACTTCATAAAGTTTTTAATATAAGAACATGTTTTAAAATTTCCTCTTAGATGTTGCTTTTTTACAGGTAATATAGTATAGTTTTTATTTCATTTTTTCTTTGAGAGTTTTTAATGAATTTTAGGAAAGGTAGTTAAGGTTTAAATGTTTTGTTTTAACATTGCCTATTAGAATATTCTGTAATATTGTTGAAGTTATCAGAGGAAAGAACTGATAATGCATTATCTTACTGTATTTCTCTAATTATATCTTATTATTTTGTTTTTTTTTTTTTTAAAGGGAGGAAAGATTTATTTGGCTTACAGGTTGTAGAGGTGTCCACAGTCCATAATTGGCTGGCTCCAAGGCAGGTGTCACATGCCAGAGAGGCACCACTGCATGATGGTGGAAGACAGCAAAACCCTCATTTCATCTTTAGAAGAACTGAAATTTAAATTCTGCTGATTCACATATATTTTAGAATTTTGTTGGTCACTTAATATTTACTTTGCGAGTAGTAGCCTTGCTTGGTTTTTAATGTTTGGTTAGGTAGATCAGAATTCCAAAACATGGAATTCCTGCACAGATTAGAAGAAAATTCACCAGCTTCCTGCTGTTCTGTAAACTGTTATGTATACATGGTGAATTTTATGGACAAAGTAATACTGAGCTAATATTTTTGTTCTTAGAATGCCTTAAATTCAGGGCAATAGGATAAATTAAAACAGGAATGTGTCCCTGAGTTAGTAGAGAAACGCTTTAGTCATTTAAAAGGCTTTTCCAAACCAAAAAAGATTTTGGACACATTTAGCAATATTCAGGAATAAAAGAGAAGTTATAATGATATAAGATGACATAAGTTCTAATCTTTGAATGTATTATCAAAGGAGAGGGGAAATGTTTCTTAGTGCTATGATAGAAGTTGTATTACTAAGATACCATAGACTGGGGACCAGTGGTATAGCTTAGATTTTTTTTTGCATGATAATCAATTACAGATTTCTATGAAGATATCTTACCTGTTTATTGTTTATTCCTTTTCTGGTCAGTATACTTTTCTTTTGGGAAACAAAACTATAATTTTTGTAAGAGAAATAAAATATTTAATTATTTTAAAATAGTATTCTCTATTATTTTTCTGAAACTTAGTAAAGGATCATTTAAAAGTTAAGAATATAGCTTACCATTGGATGTCAAATTGAATATGTGTTCATAATTGGAGTCAACTTCTAAAATATAAATTATCTTTTCAGTAGCCTCATCAAGAATTTTTTTCTCAATTAGCATTTAAAAAACTCTTGTTCTCAATATACTTCGCTTGCACACTTAAAGACACAAGTGATAGACCACTACACTGCAGAAGAAATGCAGACAAGGTCAGATTGCTGGGTGCTTAAGAAGGCTTCTTCTAAGGAGTCTTATCTGAAGTAGTCATTGAAGGTTGGTTAAGGAGAAAATAGCTCTGGGTCAAGTTGAGAGAAGAGAAAAGGAAGTTGCCCTGTAGAAACAGCATGTAAGCAGGAGGACAAGTGAGAAAGGTCCAAGTCTGCTTGGTCATGAAGCTGCCAGAATTTCAGTGTAACTGGAACCAAAGATTTAGTTGCTGAGTAGACTGCAACTAAATAGAGACTGTAGGACTAGGGACAGAGAGGTGGGGGCTACAGGGAGCTGAAGATACAATTTTTTTTTTTTTAATACTTTTAAAAGTAGTTTGCGCTTAGTGGTGTGCACCCAAATCCCAGCACTCTTAAGAGGCTGAGGTGGGAGGATCACAAGATTGAGGCCAGCTTAGTGACTTAGCCCAGTCTCAAAATTTTAAAACTTTTGGAGTGTAGCTCAGTGTGAATGCCCCAGCCTTCAGTCTCCAATACCACCAAAAGAAAAAAGTTTGAGCCTTTAATCTAGAAGATTGGGCTACCACCCTCATTATTCAATTTTATGAAGTTAAAGAATATGATTTATGGAAAAATAAATAATATAGGCTAAATTACTAGTTAAGTAAGATTATTAGGCATAATAGCATACTAACTTAAGAGCATGAACCATGAAGTCAGTCAGATCTGGGTTTAAATACTGGTTTACCCATTTGTATTTCTGTGACTTTATGTGTGCTAGGTAATTCTCTATGTCCAATATCTTCAGCTGTAAAATGGAAATAATTAAATACCATTTTCATAACTTGTTAGGATTAAATAAGATTATGCTAAGCAATTTATAAACAGGTGATAATGTGCTAAACAAATACTATTATTTTTAATGTGACTTTATTGTTTTGATATCAGTGATTATGATTTCTAATCAGTAATTCTGCCTGGATGGGAATAGTTATTTTAATAGAGGCTAAGAATAGCGTGATTGAAAAAGTAAGTTGGTGTGAAATCATATTCTTTGGTAAAACATATTTTGAACTACTTAGTAACTTCATACCTTAAATGTAATAAACTTTTTTCAAATGTAAAAAAAGTTACTTTTGTTCTAGTTAAATTATTTGATAACAGCCTTGAAACTGTTTCTTCAAAACAGTTCTGCACGTGACTAACCACACAAAGTTTAATATGCTTTGTGATTTTTTTCAGTAAACAGCTTTCAGCCATTTTAGATTCTATAATATCAACTTAATAAAACTTGTAATGAGTATTCAAATCACTTCAAATACCTTGCATTCTTTTCCTATGTTTAGAATTTATTAATAACATGATTTGCTCTTTTTTTTTTATTTTTTTTATTTATTTGAGAGAGAGAGAGAGAGAGAGAGAGAGAGAGAGAGAGAGAGAGACAGAGACAGTAGTGTGTGTGTGTGGCCAGCTCAGCCCACCAGGGGGCGGGGCTGGCTGGCATGTGGTGCTGGGGGATTGAACCGCGGTCCCTGATGCTTTGCCAAGCTTGTTCTAAGTAGGTGCCTTAGACCACTGAGCCATCTCTCCAGCCCCATGATTTGCTCTTTTATTGAAGAAAAGGAACATTTAAAAAAAATTTTTATTTTTATTTTTTCATGTATCAAATAGAGTAACTTTTATTGCAATCATTTCTTGCTTTTCCTATTTTCTACATGTCTTTTGTTTCCTCTTATCTAAGAGATCTCTTTTTTGATAATTCCATTGATTGCTTCAAGAGACCACTAGATGGTGTGAGTGGACACGGGGTGATTTTTGTGAGTCTGGAAGGAAGGACACACCTGAAGGACATGAGTAGTCAGAGCAGAGAAGAACATTTTTATTTTTATTAAACAAATTTATATACATATATTTTTAGCACAGGGTATCAGTGTGCAGCTCGGACTCGTAGTTGTGTTTCTGTTTCAGCCTCCCTAGCAGTGGGATTATGGGAATGTGCCACCAAGTCCAGTCTCAGGCTTGCTCAGTGGCCAGTTCGGCACACCCAGGGAGGGGACTGGCAGGGTATGTGGTGCCAGGGATCAAACCTGGGTCCTTGTGCTTGCCTTTGCAGGCACTTAGACCACTAAGCTGTCTCCATGGGCCCATTTTTCTTGGAAGTAAAGAAGTATTTCATAAGAAAACTAGGAACTGAAAGTTTATTTTATTTTTTTATTTTTTTTTCTTTTCAAAGTTTTATTGATAAACATATAGCAATGAGACAGTTTCAAATCAAATCGAGAGTACAGTTTCAACAAATAATA